ATGTTTTAACGCTAAAAAAGATTCTAGCCGGTAAAGATTTGAAATCACCCATTAAAACAATTGATATAAATGTTCTTTCTAAATTGTAACTTGGGAAAACATCATAGTGTTTACTGTTGCAACATGCTGGCTTGGAAAGGATTTTCCTCCCCACAAAGGTTTGCCAAATAAAATACAAATATCGCATGCAATATACCACAAAAAAATGATGTTCGTCTGAAATTCAAATTTAACTGGATGTCCTGTATTTTTATTTGCTAAATATAGCACTCTCACACAATAGCCAGAAAATGAAGCCTTCACAATTGGGATATTTTACTTACTGCTCTCCAGAAAGACACAGAGGGAGAATTAGTTGTCTCTAAGACTTACTATATTTGATCATAGTTTTCAGGGACTTTTTCTTCAATATCATCTTGAAAACTACTGAAGTTATTTAGGACCCTGAAATCTTGGATGGGGTCTATGTTTTTCACCATTGCTCACAAGCACATACCCTAGCAGTTCCTGCACAGCAGATGCTCAATAAATAGATGTTGATTCAATAATTATATAAAACCAAAGTGCTGGGATTATTAATGTTCATAAATTATATATACTTCAACTTTGTACCTAGTTGATTATTCTGTTCACTTAGTTACTAGTAGACTCAACCACTTAATTGTTAATGTCAGTATTATGCAAGTTCAACCTAAATCTACAAAGGGCTTGGGACAATAGGATAAAAATAAGATTCTACCTTTATCAAAATATGGATGAGTTGGCTAATTGAATTTCATTTTTGTGTAATGTAAAAGTGATATCATTTCCATAAGCCAGGTGACAATGGATATGTGTCTACCTAAAACGTGGGGCTTTTCATTATTCATTTTAATAAAGGCAATAAGAAATATAATATTGCAAATACCTGTTTTCAGTATTTGACTATTATGATGATTAATAACACAAATAATTTTTATTATAAAAGATTGATGTATTTGATTGAGCACTAAGTGCCAATAACTCTGCTAAGTACTTTGCACAACTTATCTTATTTGTGTATACATTTTTTCTATGTGTATATTTGTGTATATTTTTTCTATGTGTTATAAGAGTGTTTTTAAAAATATAACTGTATTAGTCATTTTCATACTGCTATGAAGAAATCTTCTAGATTGGGTGATTTATAAAGAAAAAGAGGTTTAATGCACTGCCAGTTCCACATGGCTGGAGAGTCCTCACAATCATGGTGGAAGGAAAAGGAAGAGCAAAGACATGTCTTGCATGGCACAGGCAAGAGAACGTGTGCCGGGGAACTGCCCTTTAGAAAGCCATCAGATCTCATGAGACTTATCTACTATCATGAGAACAGCATGGGAAAAACTACCCCCATGATTCAATTACCTCCCACCAGGTCCCTCCCACAACACATGGGGATTATGGAAGCTACAATTCAAGATGAGATTTGGGTGGGGACACAGCGAAACCATATCAGTGACACAGCTTTAATCCACGTTGGTTTGAAAAACTGAATAAATACATGTGTTTCTTTTCAATGAATAAAGTAGAAACTCTAAACTTCTTACTAGTCTGATAGAACACCCTGGGACTACATCATAGCTTTAGATGAAAACAATACTTAATAAGGTCAAAACTCCTTTTTGGGAAATGAATAATTTGCATAAATTTGAATGCTTTGGGATTTGGTAGAAAAATCTAGTATGTCTGACAAAGACAGTAATAAAAAACTACTAGATAGGTTTCAGTTTTTCTGCAATGAAAGCCTTATTATAGTAATCTTGATATACATGAAACTTCAAGCCTAGGACAAGAAGAAAATTAGTTTAGAGAATAATATCTCTCTTGAAGTTAGTGATGTAAGGAATAAATCTTTAGTTATCTTTTGAGAAGTGCAATTTTTATTGCTTATTTGCTAGTCACATATTCAACAATGTACTAGTGAAATACTGAATGTAATAGCCAAGGAGAACCTTTTAGTCAATGGCTAGCTGATTGTAATCAGATGAAATTACACTGTTAATTTTCAAGTCATCTAAGTGGGAAATGGATAGAGGGAACAGTAGACAAATGATATCAAGCATTGAGATATCCTGGATAAATAATACTTGTATTTTGGTGCATAATGTAAAGTCTAGTTTGCCAACTTAAATAGTGAAAAATATCTCATTGAATAAGTATGATGGCTTAGGACTTATACAATTTATTTCAATGGAAGCCATTCTCAAGGCCTTGGGAGACCACCCCTCACACCAGTGTGCCCTGGACATGGGATGTGAAGTTAAAGAAGATTATTTTGGAGCTTTAAAATTTAATGACTGCCTGGCTGAATTTTGAACTTGGCTGGGGCCTGTAGCTTCTTTCTTTTGGCCAATTTCTCCCTTTGGGAATGAAAATAATTACCCAATACTTAACTCCTTGCATCCTTGGACATAACTAACTTGTTTTATATTTTACAGGCTTGTAGGTAGAAGGGACTTGCCTTATCTCAGATGACACTTTGGACTCTGGACTTTTGAGTTAGTGCTAGGAGGAGTTAAAACTTTGGGGGACTATTGGGAAGGCATGATTGTATTTTGAAATGTGAGAAAGACATGAGATTTGGGAGGGGCAGGGGTGGAATAATAGAGTTTGGGTATTTTTCACCTCCCAAATCTCATGTTGAATGGTAGTCCCCATGTTGGAGGACAGGCCTTGTGGGAGGTGGTTGGATCACAGGGCTGGATTCTCATAAATGGTTTAGCACCATCCCTTTGGTGCTGTTCTCATGACAGTGAGTGAGTTCTCAGGAGATCTTGTTGTTTAAAAGTGTGTGGCACCTCCCCTCTCTCTCTTGCTCTTGCTCTTGCTCCTGCCATGTTAGATCCTTACTCCTCCTTTGCCTTCCACTATGATTTGAATTTTCCTGAGGCCTCCCCAGAAGCAGAAGCCACGATGCTTCCTGTAGAGCCTGAAGAGTCATGATTCAATTAAACCTCTTTTCTTTATAAATTATACAGTCTCAGGTATTTCTTTATAGGAATGCAAGAATGGACTAGTACAACTGCTGATTAGACTTCAGGTGAGCAAGCAGTCAACTTCAGTGTTATGAAGCTAAGCAACTAGCATTCATTTAATTCACAATTTTACCCTTACATCTAATCAAAATCCTTTTAATTCTGTCTCTTTGATATGTACTAAATCTGCATTTTTTTTTTCCTTTACTAGTGCACTAGTAGCACTGTAGTCTAAGCCACCATCATTTAAACACAGATAAGAGATGGGGCTCTCTTATGAATCTCCTTGTTTTCCATTTTTGTTGTCTTTGGCCCATTCTAAATAATGCATCCACAGTAACCTTTAAAACTGAGACTCAGACCATTTCATTTTTCTGTTTGAAGATGTTCAAAGGTTTTATTGTACTATTACAAAGAAAAAAGAAAAGGTCTTACATTGGCTTAAAAAGTTTGAATGGCCTGTCTCCAGCTTGCCTTTCTAATCTGTACCACTCCATTTCCTCACTCCTCCCCCAGTAATCTCTGTCTCTGTTCTCACTGCTTTCTTGCCCAAACAGATCAAATATTTTCATTCCAAGTGAATCCTCACTTGTTGCTTCATTTCTTTGAACTCTGAATGCTAAAGTCCAAGATCTTATAGGTAGCTCGTTTTTACCCTCCTTTGAAAAGTTGTCTCTTATTTTATCTTTAGCTGGCCTTACTCATTTGGTCTCTATTGAATTATTTTATTTGTGTCATTTATAGTTTTACACAATCCGTGGTTGTCTTATTTGTTGCTGACTTGATGTTTGGTTTCCTCACATAAAATATAAATTTCATAAAGGAAGAGGCATTGTCTACTCTATTTGTTGACATTTTCCCAGCAGTCGGCAGAGTCTGCACATAAACAGATGACCAGTGCTGTATTAGTCAGGGTTCTTCAGAGGGACAGAACTCTTAGGCAATTCAGAGATCTTCCCAGCAGCCCCACTTATCGCAGGCCTGGAGGCCTAGGAGGGAAGAATGGTTTCTTGGGCCAGGCCCAGGGCCCACTGCTCTGCACAGCCCCAGGACACTGCTCCTTGCATCCCAGCTGCTCCAGCTCCAGCTCCAGCCCTGGCTCAAAGGGCCCAAAGTACAGCTCAGGTCACTGCATATATATTATCTCCTGAATACATGTTTATTAGGGATAATTGGCTCACCACACAATTACAAGGCAAAGTCCCATGATAGACCATCTGCAAGCTGGGGAAGAAAGCTGGTAGTGGCACAGTCTAGGTCTGAAAGCCTCAAATCAGGAAAGCTGACAGTGCAGCCTTCAGCCTGTGACTGAAGGGTCGAGAGCCCTCAGCAAGCCACTGATGCAAGTCCCAGAGTCCAAAGGTCAAAGAACCTGGCTTCTGGTGTCCAAGGGCAGGAGGAATGGAAGGAAGCACCCAGCATGGGAGAAAGAAGGAAGTCAGAAGACTCAGCAAGCAAAGCTATCCCACCTTCTTCTGCCTACTTTGTTCTAGCTGTGCTGGCAGCCAATTGGATGGTGGCCACCCACATTGAGGGTGGATCTTCCTCTCCCAGTCCACTAACTCACATATCAATGGCAACACCCTCACGGACACATTCAGAAATAATACTTTTACCAGCTATCTAGGCATTCTTCAATCCAATCAAGATAAAACCTAACATTAATCATCACAAATACATATTTTTTAAAGAATTGTTGAATGACTATTATGCTTGTTTGATTTTTCCTGTATCAATAAGAAATCAATTCAATTCTGATTACTGATAAGCAGATAAAAGTTATATTTTATTGAATCTCCTTGATTAAGACTTCAGAATCCTACATCTCAGGATTATTTGAAACTATAAAGATTACGTTGTCTAAACACATCGAGATCTCTCTTATAATTCCTTTTTTAAAGAGTACATGCTTAGTCTCATGAAGCATAGCATACCAATCTATTGTGTAATAAACACTCAATAATTATAGAATTAACACCAATGACACTTCCTTTTATCATCATTTAGGCACAGTGTTTGGACCAGCCCAGGAGCCCTCACTCACAAGCACTTCTATCGGACTTAGCTGATCCCTCAGAAGACCCCGGACACCACAAAGGGTCATCAGCACAATCTTGATGGATGTCTAAGAAGTAAAGATTGATTTTTGCCTAATGACAATAAAGTCATCCCTAAGTTAAATATCTGTACATTAAATATATATTAAATATGTATTAAATACATAATATATTAAATATTAAATTAAATATTAAAATGCATGTATATTCTGAGCTTTACTGTGTTTTTCATGAAGACACTGTTAAAGACTAGAGCCCGATATGTTAAAAAAATGAGTGAGTAATCTTATTATAAGAATCATAATATGGTCCCTTTTCTTCATCCTGCTATATATAACAGTCTGTTACACAACCTCCATTATTCTCCTAATGAAGCCTCTTCACATCATCACTTTGAGAACCATTATCCTCACTTAGCAATTTTTTTTTTTCTTTGAGATGCAGTCTGTCACCCAGGCTGGAATGCAGTGGTGCGATCACGGCTCACTGCAATCTCCACCTCCCAGGTTCAAGCGATTCTCCTGTCTCAGCCTCACGGGTAGCTGGGACTACAGGTGCGTGCCACCAAGTCCGGCTAATTTTTGTATTTTTAAGAGACAGAGTTTCACCATATTGGTCAGACTGGTCTTGAACTCCTGACCTCAGGTGATCCGCCTGCCTTGGCCTCCCAAAATGCTGGGATTACAGGCATGAGCCACCATGCCCGGCCCTAACTTAGCAATTTTTGAAGAAATCTCAGCAGCCTTAACTCAACTCTATGTAAATTTTTTTGTACGTGTGAAAAAGCTACCAAATGGTTCTTTTGGAGATGAGGAATTGACAACGAGCTTAGGAAAAAGTCAGTTTTTGTTGTTGTTGTTTTCAGTCAGGAGACTTCCTAAATTGAGATGCTGACATTCATGGCCACTTATTGTCTGGTTCTAATTCAAATCCAATGTCCAGATTCTACCCATTAAAGAAGGCAATAACTGGATATAACTTCATTAATATCAAGTTCCAGCATCTGCGGGCTCTGGTTGTATGGGAAAAGGTTGTCTACCATTTTGCTATGAATTCTAATAACCTATGCCCGATATATAGTCATGGGGTAACCCCATTATAAAGCTTCTAACTACAAAACCAAGAGAAAGCTTGTCAAAATAAATCTTAACTTCTCACCATGGTAGAAGACCTACTACGGGGTATTAACAGTCAGAACTGCCAATCACTGCCTGGTTTAAATGTTTGTATTAAAAATTCCAACTCTGGTGGCATGAACTTTGGATAAAATCATCATAAGCTGTGTGAGTCCAAAAAATATAAACCCAGAATGAAATATATTTGGGGCTAGAATGACGTTACTAATGTCTGAGATGGGTCTCCCCCTCCCCCTTTGAAATGTGATGCTTTTATTAGATTATTTCTACTGCCAAAAGACACAGCTACTGTCTGGCTACATTTTCTGGTTTTCTCTTGAATTAAAACAAATAAATAAAAGAAAAATGTCTACATCTTTTAAACAAAGCAAATGGGAATATTTTTATTATTTTTTTTTTCCTGCCAACTGAACAAGTTCTATACATTTAGATAGACCTCTGGGTCACATAATATGATATGTACTTGTATGTGCACACAGAATGTATAAGATAAAATGGGCTTTTTAAAATAAGCAAGTATTGCCTAAGGATATATAGATGAATGGAAAACAGCACTTCACTATATTACAAGGGTTAGTTAGCATCGTGCTGGAATTGACTGGGAGCTGCATAATTTTCAACTCTACTATCTACAGGCTCCTGTTCCACCTCTGTGGGTTTTTATTTCGTCATTAACTTTCTGATCCTTGATAAGACAAAACTTACGTTATTGTTTCTCAGAATACAATCAGAATTTACATAACATTGCTCATTCTCCTCATTTTACAGATAAGGAAAGTGAAGCTTCCAGAATTAAATCATCATCACATACATAAAGTCATATAACTAATTACAACTAATTAGTAGCCAACCACATGCTGGGAACCTCCATATTTACATATTCAGCAGTATGTGCCAGAGGCATCCTCAGCACTTTACTGACCTAACTGCAGGGTCCTTGGAGGTCATCCTTGTTTCCCATTTAAATAAAACTAGGGGGAAAGACATTTTCCATGCAGGGGCAAATCTCCTCTCAATAATTCTGCAGATTCTTAGGGAAAGCAGAGGAGTGGGGAACGGGTGGTCCTTACATTTTTGCCTATTGCCTCTGAGTTTGCCTTTGCTAATTTCCCGAAATTTATTGAAATTTGCCTTTTATATTAGTCCCATTCTCTTTACTCTGCATCAGTTCCTATATACTGTTTATGTAGGAGCATTATTTTTGATGTATCTTTTTTTAGATTTGTATAAAAATGACGCGTTTGGGGTTTGCCATGTGCCAAGTACTCTAATAGGCACTTAATGTAAGTTTTGTCTTTCAAATCTGTCTTTGTGGGTAGGATGCGGTGACTCACACCTGTAATCTTAGCACTTTGGGAGGCCGAGGCAGGAAGATTGCTTCAGCCTAGGAGTTCAAGACTAGCCTGGGTGACATGGTGGGACCCCATCTCTACAAACAATAGAAAAATTAGTCAGACATGGTGGCACACACCTGTAACCTCAGCTACTCCTGGGCTGGGAGGATCGCTTGAGTCTGGGAGTTCGAGATTACAGTGAGCTATGATATCAACACTGCACTCCTTTCTGGGCAATAGAATAAGACACTGTCTCTAAAAAAAATAAAATATGTCTGTGTGATTAGGTGACTGCTCTGACAACAGAGCTGAAAAATAAACCTGTGCCTAATCAATTCCAAAATCTGTTCTCTTTCCACTAAGCTATGTTGCTGCCTGCATGCTATTGTTTTCATGGAGTGGGGTTCTTCATAAAACAGAAATTATATCATTAGCCCATCTCTGTAAGGCATGATCTCTTCACTGTGGGATGTATCAGAGTTCACTGGCATTAATCTCCATCTCTCTTATGGCCAAGCAGAACTGTCTGCTCAGATTCAAGATACATTCTGTGCCCTAGAATAAATTCCTTTCTCTGAGGAAAGTGAACTACTTTCTAAAGAGATAAATGAATTCAGGTTGTGGTTTTATTGGCATAGCTTTTTAGAGGTTTTTGTTTTTGTTTGGTTTGGTTTGGTTACCTGCATTATACCATGTATCCCCAAAGACATTTCTAAGCACTTAGTTACCTTACAAATAAGGCTGATTTTAATGGGAACGGTCATGTTGAACTTAGAATTGCCTGGAATAAGGAAGGGTTTGTAGTTTATTCAATTTCCCATCTCATCTCAGGTCTTCCATTTGAGGATAATGTTTGAATACCATTTGCTATGGGTGGAACCAGCACTAATGGTAGATTCCATTATGGCTAGACACATGCGTGCTAACATAGGTTTGATTTGAGTCAGACCACAGAGCAAAACCTAAAGCAATGATCGTCTGCCAACCCTCAACCCACTGAGGGATTTGCTGGCTGACTAACACTGTCCTGCTATGGTCTGGGAGAGAATGGGACTCACCATTTCCAATAATCCACTTCACAGACCAAAACCTTTCAGTAGATTTTCTCTCTCTTTTCTTTCTTTCTCTTTCTTTCTTTCTTTTCTTTCTTTTACTTTCTTTCTTTTCTTTCTTTTACTTTCTTTCTTTTCTTTTTCTCTTTTTCTTTCTTTCTCTTTTGTTCTTTCTCTTCTTTCTTTCTTCTTTTTCTTTCTCTTTCTTTTCTTTTTTTTCTTTCTTCTTTCTTTCTTCTTTCTCTCTCTCTCCTTTCTTTTTCTCTATCTTTCTTTCTTGCTTGCATTCTCCTTCCTTCCTTCCTTCCTTTTCTCCTTCCCTCTTTTTCTTCCTTTTCCTCTTTGGCTCTTTCTTTCTCACCCTTTTTTTTTCTCTCCCTCTCTCCCTCACCCTCTCACACACAGGCACACAAGAACTCAGACTTTCTACAATATTTAGTATATTCTAGTTGGCTTAAAGCACTTATGAATTACATGTTTATTTTGTCTTCTTGACTGATATTTCCTCATGTCTGAGTATTGTGCCTCTAGGAAGGAAAACTTATATTTTTTAAAGGAGAGCTTTTCTCTAAATCTTGCCAAAAATAAAGTGGTTTGAAAGAAAATTACATAGACCTCTTCCTTCAGAAAACAGAATAATATTTGAAGACTTTTATTTGTAAGGATTCCTATTTTTAAGCAAGATCTTTGAGGAAGCAGCAAGACCTGAATTTGAATAAGATCAGAGAAGGCAGATTCAAATGATAGTGCCTAGCGTGTGTGCAGTAATGGTGAATCCTTCTGTATTTACTTCTGGCCTTACAGGTATAATTATTCCATCAGTCTTTCTCCATAACTTTCTCATATCTACTGTAATTTGAAATATGAATTACAAATAATCATTCTGAACAGAGATGTCTGCTTACAGGCATGTCTCCTGTGCCCCTTCATTTTCTGTCTGCCATGTTCAACTACTGACAGGTGCAAAGTGTACAAAGGGTACCACACTGACTGCCATGCCTCCCAGTCACAGTATGCAAGAGTCACCAATCTAGCATGCCCATCACTGCCTTGGATTTGTTCCTGGAGACATGGTCAACTCTCTTCATCTCCTGATCCTTGTCTGAATGCTTTCCTCCCTGCCAAAATAATTCACTCCATCCTTCCTCGTGCATATCTTAATTCTAGTTTATCACTGTGGTAGAATTATTTGCTTATAGGTCTGTGTGCTTTACTAAGTGTAACTTGAGATGAGAAAATGTCATCTTTACATTATCCTCCACCAACCAGCTCAGTGCCTGACAGTGGGAATGTGCTCAAAGAATATGTGTGATTTGCCCACTAAATTCCATGATCTTAAACTTGTCTTGCATTAAATAATCTTTGACTGTCAGGTCCAAACACAAAGCCCATAGTCATTTTTTATAGACATTTGCAGAAAGGATTTCTCCTCTTCTAAATTAAAACCCACCTTAAATTATAAAAATGTTTGTATACAACTCTGCATCTCTCATACAAGTATTTGCAGAGCACAGAACTTTGCAAATAGTGAGCATTGGATAAATGGAAAACTACGAGGGTACTTGTTCTAGGTTATTTGCCTTCTGGCAAATGATAATTAGGACTTAATATGTGGCACACATTGTTCTAAGAATTTTGAAGTATTAACTCATTTAATCCTCACAACTTTAAGAAAATTTGAGAAATTTTTTCTATGAAAATATTTTCTATGAGAAAAAATTCTCGTAGTTGTGAGGATTAAATGAGTTAGTACTTAACAGATGAGGAAACAGAGAAAATATATTACCCGGGATTGTGCAAAGTGCTACTAGAATTTCCAGAGACTATGAGTTTAACCACAACTTTCAGAAACATTGGTCAACAGAATATCACATGTAACTCAAAATGCTGCAAGAAAGAGTTCTATTTAGGAGGTTGAATGGGAGAAGATACGCCAGGAAACATGGCAGTAATTTTATGTTAAATCACATCT